GAGAGTTGGGAGGTGGGAGAACAGGAGGTTGTGGGTGGGGAGAAGAGGACTATACCTTTCATTTTAAATTATTTTGTGTCATTTCATTTTTACACTATATGCAATGGAATAAAATAGTGCTTTCCTCTCTCCTATATTTCTCTTCATATCATGACTCTCCTCCCAATGAGACTTCCAGACTTCAGTTTTGTTTGGTTTCTTTAGACAGGGTCTCACTCTGTCACCCAGGTTGGAGTGCAGTGGTGTGACCAGCTCACTGCAACCTCTGCCTCCCAGGCTCAAGCAGTCCTCCCACGCAGCCTCCTGAATAGCTGGAATTACAGGCATGCGCCTTCATATCTGGCCAATTTTTTGTATTTTGGGTAGAGATGGGGTTTTGCCATGTTGCCCAAGCTGGTCTTAAACTTCTGAGCTCAGGAAATCCACCTGCCTCAGCTTCCCAAAGTGCGGGGATTACAGGTGTGAACCATTATGCCCAGCCATTGATTTTGAGTTTAAAAGAGAGATCCCAGATATAAATTAAAATATGTATAGAAATCCAAATTCCAGCCCCCATACATGTGCCATCCTAATGCAATGGGAAAAGTTCCTTATCCCCCTCTCAGGGCGAGCAACAGGGGGAGGGGCTCGCTTCTTCGGTGACTGCTGCTCAAACCTCCAGGAGGAGCATGCAGATGGGCAGGTTATGGGGCTCCCACCCCTCGGCAGCATCTAGGGGTGACTGCTTCCAGCTCCTGAAGCCCCAGTGGACGTGAGTTATAGGGTGCTTTCTCAGTCTTGCCTTCCACAGACAGCTTGTGTGAATCAGCTCTGTTAGACCTTCTGCCTTATCCCAAGGACAGGGGGCTTTCTGTATCCTGGGGTTCTTGCCTTGGAGTACCAGAAGAATCGGAATACACGTCGGCTTGGAGAATGAGTGCAAGGTTTTTTATTGAGTAGTAGGTCTCAGTGAGGTGGACAGGGAGGCCAGAAGGGGGATGGAGTGGGGGGGTGGTTTCTCCGCCGGAGCCGGGCTGCCCCTGGCCAGGCCGTCTTGCGACTGCCCCAGCCAAATTCCACGTTGCTCCACTGGTCGATGGCCTGCCAGCATCTGCTGGTGCCTGTCAGTGCGCTCTTCTACCACTCTGTTCTTTTCAATGTCCAGCCACTGTTGTTCCTGCCCCCTAGGGTCTTCAGGTTTTTATAAGCACAGGATGGAGGTGTGGTGAGCCAGGGTGGTCTTGGAAAATGCAACATTTGGGCCCCAAGGCAGGAGTGCCTGTCCTCACCTAGGTCCATGGGCACAGGCCCAGGGGTGGAGCCCTAGCCAGGGACTATGCCTTTCTCTACCCAGCACTTCCCTGCCCCTATCCCATATCTCTAAGTGAATTACAACTCTCTGGTCAGCGGGGAGGAGAAGAAAGAAAGAAGGGCTGGTGCACAAAATGTTTATGTGGGCCTCCTAAAAACAGCCTCGTGCCCTATTCCTGAACAAATTCGAGGGTCCTAGGTCTTCTAAATAAGTTCAGGGATCTCAGAGTTGAAAGGTATGTGTCCCGCTTCTTGTTTGAAAGCCCTGGAAGGCAGCAAGCTCAAGACACTTTTACACATTCTAGAATTCAGAGGGAGCCTCACAGATTCCCATCCTGTCCCCAGTGGGGTCGGCCAAAAGCCTTTTCCTCATGTAGCTGAGACTGGCGGGGATGCGAAGTTGCTAGGGAGTGAGAATGTAGTCAAGGCAGCCTGCTGGTTCCCCAGCGGACCTTCAGAAAATGTTAGTTGCGGCCAGGTGTAGTGGCTCACACCTGTAATCCCAGCATTTTGGGAGGCCAAGGTGGGCAAATCACTTGAGGTCAGGAGTTTGAGACCAGCCTGGCCAAGATGTGGAAACCCCGTCTCTACTAAAAATACAAAAATTATCTGGGTGTGGTGGTATATGCCTGTGATCCCAGATACTCGGGTGGCTGAGGCAGGAGAATCATGCCTGAACCTCAGGAGGTAGGGATTGCAGTGAGCCAAGATCACGCCACTGTGCTCCAGCCTGGGCAACCAAGCAAGACCCTATCTCAAAAAAAAAAAAAAAAAAGTAAGAAAATGTTAGTTGCTTCTTTCTTTTCTTCTTCTCTTCCTCCTCCGCCCCCGGCCACTTCCATTCCTTCTTCCTCAGTCTCTCTCACACGCCTCCTTCATTTCTGACTCAGACCCTCCCTGCCCAGTCCCTCCTTTTCTGGTCCCACCTCCTCTCCCCATCTCTGGCATTCCCCACCCCAAGCCTCCTCCTCCTAGATCACCCAGTGCCACTGTGGTTAGAATCACCTCCTTGGGGCTCTAGTCAACCTCCCTAGTCAACCTCACAGAAATGGGTTACCCCTCCCTTCTAAACTCCTCTAAAATGATAGTAAACAATCTTAAAAAGAATACTACCCACAAAGACAGGAAGAATGAGAGAGATGACAATGGCAGGTAAAAGAGGTCACTTTGGAAGATGAATAACAAATGTCAGGTTAAAGGAAGTGATCATCTACTTGAGAGGTGAATCTATTTGTTCTGCAGAACCCTTGAGAGACTCAGTGCTCAGACACACAGGAACATCAAAGGTGGGGAGGCAGGCGTGGCAGATGTTCCCAGTTGTCTACCCAATATCCTGTCACCTTCCTTCTTGCCAAGAGATCTTGATTTTATCCAGGGCCATGATGTGTCCTGCTAAAATAAAAACTCACTCCCCAGACTTTCTTGCCACTAAGGGCAGTCACCCGATCCAGTTCGGGCCAATGAAAGTTCGCTTGAAGGACTTCCAGGAAAGCTAGAGAGCTTTCCTGAATTAAAGGAGCAAAGGGGAGCTGGTAAGGGCCTTCTCCCCTCTGCCCTTCCCCATTCCTCCTGCCCCAATAGTGACCAAAGTGCCTAGGAGTGCCACGTGTGTGAAAGCCACAGGCCGAGAGCAGCAGAAGGGAAAGAGAAGGAGTCTGTGTCACCTTGGAGCTGCTGCTCCAGCCTGGGCAACAACCACTAGATTTGTTGTTGTTGTTGTTGTTGTTGTTTTCAAATCAACAGTTATCTGGTTAAACCACTGTGGTCAAGTTTTGTCAGGGACAGTTGGATACAATCCTTAATCCATAAAACTGTTGTTGATGGAAAATCGTCTGCAGAGGAGTTAGCCAGATTCCTTCTCCTAGCCCAGAGTCAGACAAAAAGATGCTTCCTCCTTCCTCCTCAAAGACCAGAAGTTAGTTAGTTAGTTAGTTGGTTAGAGACGGAGTTTCGCTCTTGTTGCTCAGGCTGGAGTGCAGTGGTGCAATCTTAGCTCACCACAGCCTCCATCTCCCAAATTCAAGCAATTCTCCTGCCTCAGCCTCCCAGATAGCTGGGATTACAGGCATGCGCCACCATACCCGGCTGATTTTGTGTTTTTAGTAGAGATGGGGTTTCTCCATGTTGGTCAGGCTGGTCTCAAACTCCTGACCTCAGGTAATCTGCCCACCTCAGCTTCCCAAAATGCTGGGATTACAGGCATGAGCCACCACGCCCAGCTCAGAAGTTTATTTTCTAGAGAATTTATCTAAGAGATTTGGGATTGGGACAGGAATATGAAGCCCACCAGAGAAGTGGACAAAGGCATGAGGCTGAGATGGAAAGATCAAATGGAAACCAACACTCTAACCCCTTGGGCCACCAGTCACCTTTCCCAGCCTCAGCCAGGAATCAACCTGGACTCCATGAGAAATATGAAGGCCAGCTTGGAGAACAGCCTGAGGGAGGTGGAGGCCCACTACACCCTGCACATGGAGCAGCTCAATGAGATCCTGCTGCACCTGGAGTCAGAGCAGGCACAGACCCCGGCAGAGGGGCAATGCCAGGCCCAGGGGTTTCAGGCCCTGCTGAACATCAAGGTCAAGCTAGAGGCTGAGATCGCCATCTACCCTCGACTGCTGGAAGATGGTGAGGACTTCAATCTTGGTTATCCCCTGGATAGCAGCAACTCCATGCAAACCATCCAAAAGAACACCACCCGCCAGATAGCTGATGGCAAGGTGGTGTGTCTGAGACCAACAACACCGAAGTTCTGAGACATTAAGCCAGCAGAAGCAGGGGACCCTTTGGGGAGCAGGAGGCCAATAAAAAGTTCAGAGGTCAAAAACAAAAGGAGGCAGAAGAGACAGAGTCAGAGAAGTAAATGGTGATGATGGTGGCAGAGAGAGAAGAGACGTAGCGGCAGAAACAGAGGCCAGAGAGAGAGAGTTGAAGATGCTTGGCTTCTGGCTTTGGCAATGGAAGATGAGGCCGTGAGCCAAGGACACAGGCAGCTTGTAGAAGCAGGTAAAGACGTGGATTCTCTTCTGGAGCTTCCTGAAGGAACTCAGTCCCTGCAGACCCGGTTTGAATTGCTGACCACCAGAACTGTCAGATGATGTGTGTTGTCTGAAGCCAATAAATGTGTGGGAATCACTCACAACAATAGGTCACTAGAAGGGGAATGACTGATCCTTAGTGAGGTTCGGGGGGAAAGGCTTCGCAGAAGGGGTTAATTTAAACTGGGCCTTAAGGCAGGAAAGGAAGGTAAACCAGGAGTAAAGGGAATTCCCAAGAGTGGTAAAATATGTTATTAGTTGTGGGTTAACAAGAAGGGAAGGGATTCTCCTATCCACAGGAGATCAATCAGTTTGCCTGGATCTGTCCCTGCTTGTGCCTATTGCCTAGTATAATTTTTCTTTTTTGGTGTTTTTTGTTTTGTTTTCTTTTGTTTTTTTGAGAGAGTTTTGCTCTGTTGCCCAGGCTGGAGTGCAATGGTGCGATATCAGCTCACTGCAACCTCCGCCTCCCAGGTTCAAGCGACTTTCCTGCCTCAGCCTCCCGATTAGCTGGGATTACAGGCATGCGGCACCATGCTGTGCTAATTTTGTATTTTTAGTAGAGACGGGGTTTCTTCATGTTGGTCAGGCTGGTCTTGAACTCCTTACCTCAGGTATCTGCCCAACTCGGCCTCCCAAAGTGCTGGGTTTACAGGCGTGAGCCACCGCACTTGGCCCGTCCCAGTACAATTTTTTAGTGTGCTTCCTTTCACACTCAAGTATGCTGGTTGGGACAACAAATGCTATGGCCACCCTCCTCCTCTACATCTTCGCCCATGCAGTCTCCCCCAGGAAAATTCTTCCTCTGCCTTCTTCTCATCTCCCAATTCAGATCCTTTCTTTCCTGCACACCGCATTCAAGACCTTTCTACTCCAAGTCATCTGTGCCAAATCACTGGTCACAAGTTCCTTTCCATTCTCTGAAATCCCCTAATACTCAAATAACTTATGCCACAAAATCTCACCTTTGACTGCATTGCTGTTTTTAAGCAGTAGTTTTCATACACTGGATAGCAAATATTTACATTTGTGGCCACCGACTTCTTTTCAGCACTGTCCCTACATTTCAGTAATATTTCTACATTATAAACCCTACCTTCTCCCAGTAGAAACCCCAAAGTTTGCATTCTCACCTTCACGGCATTACTTCCCTGCAACTAAGATGGGGCGTGTAGCTGGGTTTCACCTGGGATTCAGAGGTGAGCAATGGGAAGAAATGGAATAGGGGACCGATCTTCCAGGAAGCAGAGTAGCAAAGATGCCTCATGGTCAGGGAAGCAAGGGTGGAGCATCAGGCAGCCAATCCCAAGGAAAGATGCTCAGCAAAAGTGCCCAGTGAAGGCGGTGACAGTATGCTCTCCAGAGACTAGAGCAAGCCCATAGCATGGCTGTGGATTATTGCTATCTGTGTGGATTTAAAACCATTTAGAAATTCTATGGGCTTCTTAATATTCTCTATAAATCCTTTTCCATTTTAATCTAGCCAGATAGTTTTGTTGTTTGCAACCAGAAACACAGACTGGTCTTGTCACGACAGTTAGTTGATAACCTCCCTACTGGCAGTTTGGATTCTTAAGAGCTTTTATATTCCTCTAAGCACCTTCCCAGCACAGGCCATACAGACTCTGCTGTCTCAAATATGATGGGTGGAATTAGGGAAAGCATAATCAGAGGAGAGGGTGGGGTTGTGGGGCCCACAGTGAGCCAGGCTGCTTACCAGGCACAGAACAAAACAGTCCGATGGAAGATGCCCACCACACCCCAGCTGAATTCCAGTGAGTCAAGGTAGGTGGCAAGCAAGCAATGGAGACAAACATCAGCGGTACAGCTTGGCCCTGATGCTCTGATGTCCACAACTGGAGACGGCCAGTCCCTCCTCCAGGGTCCTTTCAGCACAAATCCTTCACTCAAGCAGACACTTGTATTTCTGGAATGTGGAAATAAATGGAAACCATCCAAATGGGAATAAGCAAAGGCTATTTATTTAGAGCTTGCCATTGCAAGGGAGTCACCCATATCACTTGCATTAGGCAGAGATTCAGGGGCAGGCAGGAGAGTGGAAGGCTTTTATAATGGCAAAAAGGGAAGGCTCAGGTATGCTCTGTTTGGAGGCAGTTTCATTGGGGAAGCCGGATGGGCTAACAAAAAGTATCATCCTATGTGACTGGTTAGAGGAGAAGATTTAGCTTTCTCTGATTGAGACTAACTTGGAAGCAAGGACAAAAATTAGGGAAGCTGGCACTTATTGACCAAGTCCTAACCATTTAGAATGCATTGCTGATGACTGGGTGTGGTGGTTTACACCAGTAATCCCAGCACTTTGGGAGGCTAAGGCGGGTGAATCACGAGGTCAGGAGTTCAAGACCAGCCTGGCCAATATGGTGAAACCTCATCTCTACTAAAAATACAAAAAATTAGCTGGGTGTGGTGGCGGGCACCTGTAATCCCAGCTACTTGGGAGGCTGAGGCAGGAGAACCCGGGAAGCGGAGGTTGCAGTGAGCTGAGATTGTGCCACTGCATTGCAGTCCAGGTGACAGTGTGAGACTCCATCTCAAAAAAATAAATAAGTAAAATAAAGTAAAATTTTTAAAAACTCAAAAAAAAAAAAAAATAGAGGGCTGGGCACAGTGGCTCATGCCTGTAATCCCAGCACTTTGGGAGACCAAGGTGGGTGGATCACCTTAAGTCAGGAGTTCGAGACCAGCTTAGCCAACATGGTAAACCCATCTCTACTAAAAATACAAAAATTAGCTAGGCATTGTGTTGGACACCTGTAATCCCAACTACCCAAGAGGCTGAGGCAGGAGAATCACTTGAACCCAGGAGTTGGATGTTGCAGTGAACCAAGATCGCACCATTGCCCTCCAGCCTGGGCAACAGGAGTGAAAATCTTTCTCAAAAAAAAAAAAAAAAAAATAGAATGCATTGCTATTAAGGTTGTGGTTTGCTGTCCCAGACTAGCTGCTGCATGGGTTCTGGTTCAGAGTTTATTTCTGTATAAGTTCTGGCCATTGTCCCTTTGTACATTTGGGTCTTTCAGGAATGAATCAACCCCTGTGCCGTCAGTCCGTCGGTACCTTCAGTGCATGGAGGGGGTTGGGAAAAGGTGGCATTTGTTGGACAAAGTGAAAGCCTATCTTTGACATTGGCTCATCCAGCCAATAAACAATTTAGAGCAAATTAATAAAAACAAAATAATTTTGCTGTGAGCCTAAACTGCCCTAAAAAATAATAACATAATAATTCAAAAAGGTACTTTCGTAATAGAGTAAGGTATCTTTCAGGTCATACCACTAACCCAGTTGTCTTCCTGGGTACAAATGTAAACTCCTTACATCCGCCTTGACTACAGGAAGGACGAAACAGGAATCTAGGACAGCCATGGGTGAATACAGGCGGTTTCGTCCAGTCACCAGGGGTGTCAAGTCTTCAGGGAACACACAGAGGCAGGGAGAAGTTGAAGTATCGAAGAAAAATAAGGACTCGTAAGTGCTTACGCTGTAATCCCAGCACTTTGGGAGGCCGAGGTGAAAAGATTGCTTGAGCTCTGGAGTTCAAGACCAGATAAAGAAACCCCATCTCAAAAATAAAGAAATAAAATAAGGACCTCTGCGGGTGATGTAATTTAAACTTGGGGGTTTTCAGACTCTCCGGGCACCCGAAGTAAAGGTATAGAATCAGACCAGGTAGACATTTTTACAGTTTATCTTTCTGTTCTTCGCAAATGGTTAAGGAGAGAGACACGTCAAGGGGAGGGATTTTATTTCAAAATTATAACTAGCGAGTCTGCTAAGCACCTCTGGCAAAGGAAGGATTTTAGGGCTCACAGCGTTGCTTTTCAATTTGCAATTACAAAACGGTGGCACGCCACTTCCCGCTTCTCGCCTCCAACCCAACCACCCTGCCCCCAGCCTCATCAGGAGAGGGAGGGTCGCCACCTGCCTCTAGGAAGCTCGCGCGAGCCAGGAGCTGAGACTCCGATGAGCTGTGAGACAGGTGCGCGCCGGCCGGGCGTCGGGGCTTTACGGTAACTGGGCAGTGCGGCGGCTCTGCCTTCGTGCGCCGGCGCAGAGCCGTTGCGGCCCGAGCGGTTGCAGGTTGAGCGGTTTCTAGCCCGCTCCGCTGAGCGGCCGGACTGGGCAGCTGCGAGGGCTGCTCGACCCAGCCTGAGGCCTCGGCGTCCGCCTCCCGCGGTGCCCTCGGTAACTCGGCGGCCCTCCTGGAGCAGGCGCACAAGACGTGGGAGGGCGAACGAAATAAACGAAAATAGACATTTTCCGGAAGGCGAAATACACATCCTCCCTCTAGGCCGGAGCTTGGAGGCGGGCGGCGGTGGAGGCGGGGCGACGTCCCCGGGGAAACTGAGGCTCCGGCAGGTCCGGGCCGGGGGGCGGAGAGGAATGTGGGAGGGCGCGGGGCGCCCTGGGCTCTTCTTACTAAGCTCGACCGAGCCTCCCCTTCCCACCCCGCGCTGTCAACCAGGTCTCCCAAAATAGAGACTGGGCGCTGTCCCCACAGGATCTCCCGAGGACCTTGTGTCCCCGCGGCTTCCTTGGGCTGGCTTTAGACGACGCTTTCGCCTTCCTAGTGCCTAGGATCCGCCGACATGAATCCCATCGTGGTGGTCCACGGCGGCGGGGCCGGCCCCATCTCCAAGGATCGGAGGGAGCGAGTGAGCCAGGGTGTCGTCAGAGCCGCCACCGTGGGCTACTGCATCCTCCGGGAGGGCGGGAGTGCTGTGGATGCCGTGGAGGGAGCTGTGGTTGCCCTGGAAGATGATCCTGAGTTCAACGCAGGTAAATGTGCCTTTCAACTAGTAAATAATGTGAGTCAAGTCAAGCTCCTCCCTCAGAATAAATAGAACCTATGTACAGTGTCAGGAAATCTAATGAGCTTTAGAGTGAAACTAAATATGTAAAAAAAGAAATAAGACGTCAATCAATAAATATAAAATGTACATTGGTTCCATCTGGAAAGGTAGGACTACTGTGGGGGGCGGTTCCAGGTCATAGGTAGATTCAAAGATTTTCTGATGGACAGTTGGTTTAAAGCTTTGTCTAAAGACCTAGACTCCACAGAAGGGAATGTCTGGATTATATAAGGACCCATGGCTGCAGATGGAATTACTAGAAGGCGGTTGAGCACGGTGGCTCACGCCTGTAATCCCAGCACTTTGGGAGGCCAAGGCGGGCAGATCATCTGAGGTTAGGAGTTTGAGACCAGCCTGGCTGGAGCCTGTAATCCCAGCTACTCTGAAGGCCAAGGCAGGAGAAGCACTTGAACCTGGGAGGCAGAGGTTGCAGTGAGCCGAGATCATGCCACTGCACTCCAGCCTAGGCAACAGAGCAAGACTCCATCTCAAAAGAAAAATTAAAAATAGAAGGGAATGTCTGTGGTAAAATAAGGGGTTGGGGAGATCAAGACTCCCCTCCCCCTATGCAGAGGAACTCCCCATGTGGCAGGCTATTGAGAGACTACACTGTAAATGTTTCTTATCAGAGTTGATTCTCTCCTGAATCAGGAAAAAAGCCTAGAAAAGGATAGCTTTGCAGGACTATTTCACGATATGGCAAAGAAACATAATTTGGGGTAAAATAGTTTACTGTCAGGCCTTACTATGTGTCATGTGATGTCATACTAGAGTCCTGCTGGAATTTGGTATCTTATTGCTACAATCAAAGTCGGTTTTGTCAGTCTTAAGATCTGTTTTAATGTTAATGCTGGTCAGCTGGGCCTGAATTCCAAAAGGAAGGAGGGAATAATGAGGCATATTTTACCTCCCCCTGACAAGGTTCCAAAGGTTTCAGGTTAACTTTGGAATGCAGAGTATATTCTTTTGTGTTTCTCTTCTTTCACTCAGGCGACCCTTTTTTAGAATATTAATCATTATAGCATGTATCAGGCAATGGTCTAAGAAATTTACTTGATTTATTTAATCTGAACATTAAATGAGTTGATCATTTAACTCACGTTGGTTAACTTGAGTTAGTTCAACTCAAGTTGGTTAAACTAACTCAAGTTAACTCATGATGAACATTAAATGATTGAGTTAGGCAAAATTATTATCCTCATATCTTAGATCGGACTAAGGCACAAAAAGATTAACTTGCTGGAAGACATTCATCTCTTTGTTTTAAAATGGAAAACCTGACATCTAGGCTAGGGATTAAAGTATTTCTTGGAATTTTACCACCCACCCAACACCTGTGAGGGAAAAGAATTTCAGGAAATCTTAATCTTTGTTCTGTCCCCTTTACAAAGCACACTTTAACACTCTTTAAATTGTCCAAGTCTACCTGAGACCGGCACAGTGGCTCATGCCTGTGTGATATTGTGCTGGCCTAGAGCCAGAACCTGAGCAACACTATTTTATAAAATGCAAAACTGTTTTTTAAATAAGTTGAAGTGGCTGCCCCATTCTCCTCACAATAACTACTGTCCTTGGCCTCTGTAAATAGAACTGCTAGTTTGTTCCTCAAAACTATGTAAAGCTGCTTACCTTTTCTTATCAGTAACTGCTAAAATCTGTGACTTCTATCACCACCCAGATGATGTGTAAACAAATGTATATCTTGACTTCTGTAAACCACTGAGGTAACAAACAGAATGACAAAAGTCCCCTGGCCCTTGGAATGTCCGGAGACCCCCGCCCTTGTCTCCACCCAGGAGGTGAATCACAGAATCCCCTAGCCCTTGAAATGTCCGAAACCTTTTCATCCCCATCCCCGCCCCTCACCCCCACTCCCAAGGTGGTTTTTCGGGTATAAAAAATCATAGCACCCTCCTTTTGGCACCACAGGTTGGAGAGACGTGAGTCCTCTGTGGTCGCCGGCATAATAAATGACCCTGCAATCTGGCATACTTTTGTCTTGGTGATAACTTTCTACGCTCCGGTCAAATACAACACCTGTAGTCCCAGCACTTTGGAAAGTTGAAGTGAGCGCATCACTTGAGCTCAGGAGTTCAATGCATCCTGAGCAACATGGCAAAACCCCACCTCTAAAAAAAATACAAAAAACAGTGTGATGGAACGAGCTGTAGCCCCAGCTTCTCAGGAGGCTGAAGTGGGAAGATTGCTTAAGCCCAGGAGATCAAGGCTGCAATGAGCCAAGACTGTGCCACTGCACTCCAGCCTGGGTGACAGAGTGAGACCCTGTCTCTAAAAATAAAAATAAGTCAATCTGAATTTAAAATGAGACCTAACAGTGTGCTTTCATGGCTCCATTTCTGGAACCAGAATTTACCAGACAGGGACTGACTTTGTCAGCAGAGGGAGCAGCCAGCTCTTTCTGTGGGTGACTTGTTAAACCATTGCCTCTTAGCACTCAGAACCCCCTGGGCTGACAAACCCTCACTTATTTACACAGGACCTTCATTCTGGTTTCCAGCCGTCTCTTATTCTAACAATTTGTCATTTGCATGAATTGGGAAGTACAGATTAGGGAATTGGAGCAGCTAGTTCTCATTTGTTTTGCTCTGTATCCAGAGGCCTTCCTTCTCAATGTCTCCCCTCTCATCTTTCAGATGTCTGCTATTCAGCACATTGAGGAAGAAAAGAGTAGAGCTGAAAAGAAGGAAAGCAAAGATTCTGGGGGGAAAGGTGGGACTTTTAACAGCGTACTGTGAACCTTTCAGTACGGGCAAACAATATTCCCAGCAGCCTCTGCCATAATCCTCTAGAATAAATAACTGTTTGGGAACTTCATACAAAAAGCTGATCCTAGTAGGTGTTGAGTTCAGTGGCAATAATTAGCATTCATGACACAACTTGCCTGAACATTTGTAAAAACGTTATGTTTATGTTCTATTCCTGTTTCAATATGGATTTTGCTTTATGTTTAAAGCTTGTTTCATAATAGTTTATTAAAAAGTGGTTGATTTTTAGATACCAACACTGTAAAGATTGAACTTGTAAATCTGAATGCTGGAAATATTCTTTAAAAACTTACTTAGATTGGCAACCAAATAATGACTATTTGCTTTCACTAGAGCTCAGTAGTATTTACATAGCACTTTAGATATTAATTCTGTCTACAATTCAGTGTTATAAGCTGCTAGAGAATCTTTGAGAGAACAGGATTTTTTTCATTTATCTACTCTCTTTCTGGACTTACAGAATCAATAAAGTAAAGATCTGTGGTGGGGTCTAAGAATTGTTACTTCTTTGTTTTGAAGATTCCCAGGTGATTCTGAGATACAACCAGGTTTAGAATCTACTAACCTAATACCACTATACAATTTTAATGGGTTTGGTGTCTGGTTTTTGGTAAAATTTGCGTATAGTAAAATTTCCTTTTCAGTATACGGTTCCCTGACACTGACAGATACATGGAGTCATGTAACTACCATCACAATCAAGATATAAAACAGTTTCGTTACTCTCCCACGTCCCTTTGAGTCCATGCCTCCATTCACTCCCAGCTCCTGGCAACAACTCATCTGTCCTCTATCCTGGTAGTTTTGCCATTTCTGAATGTCATAAATGGCAGCACTTTGGGAGGCCGAGGCAGGCGGATCACCTGAGGCCAGGAGTTCAAGAACAGCCTGGCCAACATGGCGAAACACTGTCTGTACTAAAAATACAAAACATAGCCAGTCGTGGTGTCGCACACCTGCAGTCCCAGGTACTCAGGAGGATGAGGCACAAGAATCACTTGAACCCGGGAGGTGGAGGTTGCAGTGACACCACTGCAATCCAGCCTGGGCAACAAAGGGAGAGTCTGTCTCAAAAAAAAAAAAAAGGAATGTCATAAATAGAATCATGCAATATGATGTAACCTTCGTCTGTATTCTTCAGTTAACGTAATGCATTAGAGTGTTACCTGTGTAGACATGAGTATCAGTCATTTTTCCCTTTCAATTGAGTAGTAATTCATTGTATGAATATACCACAGTTGATTTAACCATGTAACAGCTAAAGGACATGTTCTGTTTGGGGCCATTATAAATAAAATCACTGTAAATATTTGCATACAGGTGTTTATGTGAACATAAGTTTTTATCTCCCTTAAGTGTGAATATGTAGTAGTGGGACTGCTGGCTTGTGACAAGAATTTAACTTCATTATAAACTGCCAAACTTTTACTATTCCCACTAGCAATGTGTGGAAGTTCCACTTAGAGGTCAGGCACGGTGGCTCACACCTATAATCTCAGCACTTTGGGAGGCCAAAGCAGGCAGATCACGAGGTCAAGAGTTTGAGACCAGTCTGGCCAACATAGTGAAATCCCATCTCTACTAAAAGTACAAAACTTAGTTGGGTCTGGTGGCGGGTGCTTGTAGTCCCAGGTACTTGGGAGGCTGAGGCAGGAGAATTGCTTGAACCCAGGAGGTGGAGGTTGTGGTCAGCCAAGATCACAGCACTGCACTCCAACCTGGACAACAAAACGAGACTCCATATCAAAAAAAAAAGAAAGTTCCATTAACTCGACATCTTCATCAGCACTAGCTAGTGTCAGCAGTTTTTATTTTAGCCATCCCAGTAGGCATATAGTGGAATCTTATTATGGCATTGATTTGCCTTTCCCTAAATGGGAAGTGATATTTAACATCTTTTCATGTGCTTTTTTTGTCGTTCATTTCTTCTTTTTTTTTTTTTTTTTT